AAAAAAAAAAAAAAAGACAATTTTTCATAATAGAGTGACAGGAACTAGAGAAACTGAGTTTAAATATTTCAAATTATTGGCAATTAAGACACTGACATACATAGTGTTTCTAAAAGTATTTTGTAGTTCAGTGCTACAAAAGCACTATGTATAGTTAGTTCAGAGAATAAATTGATCAAAAGTATAGTTTCTTCACACACACTCTTTATTTAAAATCCAAACCTTCTGTCCAAACAGGTGTGTATACCTATAATGACACAAATATCTCCATAGTAACTTAGAAAGGTATCTGTGCTCTCTTCAATTTCCACAAGAACAAAAAAGTATCTATGAAAGTAATGGATAAAGAAAGCTGAATTCCACTGCACATATTTTAAACACAACTCTACCAAAGCCCTTTAAAAAACCTTTAAAAGCAAAGATCCATGGAAAGAAAATTCACTTTTCTTAAAGTTAAATTTCCCAGGCTTAACAATTTAAACAGCACCGGTAAGTGTTGCTTGGGAGAGCAGCAAGAGGTGGGACACTTTTCCAATGTAGGAGGAAGAAAGCAACAATTTTAGAAAGGTGTCACTTTCCTAAACACCATTTTCCAAGTAAAACAATGGGATTTGGGTACATTCATTCACTCACCCCTCTAAACAATGGGGAAAAAAAAGGGGTTAAATGATTACACAAAATAGAGCAACCTTTTCTCAGTAGGCATTTCCATCTTACTTGTTTTTCACATTGTGAAGAGCATATCAAATTTTCGCAAGTGGGCAGGATACAAGAAATCCCTTCACGGCCAGCACTGGACCCAAGTAATCAGATATTTTCAAAGTCAAAGGGAAGAGCAGTTCATTACTTGGAAAAACACCCCTACCAGGTTGCCTTCCAACCAGAGCAAAAACGTTCGTAATAAAGAGGCTTCTCTCTCAAATGCCACCAGCCATTACCCGAATCTGAGAAACCTTGGTAGTTGAGGGGCACGAAAGAGAAAAGCTGTCTGATTGAATCGTGGCCTCAGAAGTTCTGCAAACGTTTGCTGGGAGTAAGAAGACAGCGAGTAGAAAACCGAAGGGGAAAATATTTTCAGAGTTTCATGATTCTCAAAAATATCTTTTAAAAAAATACCAAGCAGCTGCCATAAGCGAATACAAAAGCAGCATCGAGGATCTTCTCAGCAGCCCTCAGAGTTCAAAGGCTGGAAACATTGTGTCCAAAGTATTTCTTTTTAAGCCTGCAGGCAAGGCTAGAGTTTATCCTGGAGTTTAAACCACTTCCTTTGAGTCCCCCCACCCCCACCCCGAATCCCGGGTGCCCCCAGGAAAACTTTAACTCCGCTCAGCCACCAGATCTAGCCCCTCCCCGTGGCGCGCAGCCGGCCTGATTTTATGAATGGGAGAGCAAGCAGCGGCCGCCACATCAGGTAGAGGCTGTAACTGGATCCCTAGCGCTGGGCCCCATTCACAAAACAAGACACACATCCACCCAATTCCCAGCCTTCCCATTCATGAAAACTCCTTCAGCTGCGCCCCCGCCCCCACTCCCAACGCACGCCTAGCCTCCGACGCAGGCCCCTCACTCCAGCGTTTAGAAAGCTCAATGCTTCATTCACAAAAAAGGGGAGGGAAGAAGGAAAAAAAAAAAAAAAAAAAGCCGCAGGGAGCAGCTAGCCAACGACAGAAACCCGCTTCATTCATAAAGTCATCCACAGCCAAAGGCGAGGTGCGGCGCTGGGCGCTACCGGCCGACCCCACGCACCTTCTCTCGGTCCTCAATACCCCCGAAAATGCAAGGCGGACCCCGAATCCAGTGAGGCCCCAGCATCACTCGGGCCCGCTCCTCACCCGCTTTTTCCCCCTCCTCAGGCCGCGTTCTGGCGCTCCCCGATTTTCATCTACAGCCGCCGCTCACCTCGACTCCCTCGGCCCAGGGGGGGTGGAAGTGGGGGGCTGGGGCCCGCGGCCCACCGTGCTCAACTTGCCAGGCCTGCCGAAGTTGGGCCGACCCCGGGCCCGCAGCTGCACACGCTGGCGTGACAGAACTCTCCCGGGGGCAGTAGCTCTCGGCTACTCCCCAGGCGCGCAGAGCCTCGCGGGGCCCCGCACCCCGCGCCCCCTCTTCTCCGCCCCGAGCCCCGCGTGTCTCCGCGACGTTCGGAAACCCGCTCCGGAACCGCTACCCGCCCCCGCCCGACGCCTCCGGGAACCGAACCGGACCGGACCCGGCCTCAGGAGGGCTGGGGGCGGCTGGCTCCCGCGGTTCACCCCGACATACGAGGATTCGGACTCAGCGCAGGAACTCCAGCCAGCGGGACCTTTCCGACCCGAGCCTCGACGCCCCCCTCCTCCCGCAACGCCCCCGCACCTGAGCCGGCTCTCGAGGGCACCCGGGCGCAGGCGCGCTCACGCACGCGCGCACCAGCCTGGGCACGGGGTGGACCGCTGGGCCGCAGCGTTTGAGCAGAAGACCGCTGCGCGCACCGGCCGCCCGACTCTGCGCCGCAGCTGCCAACCGGGCTGCAGGCTGGCCCGCCCCCCGCCTCCCGCTGCGCCCGCCGCCATTGGCCCGCGGGCCTAGCCCCGCCACGCTCCCATTGGCCCGCGGGCGTGCCCGCGGCTGTCCATCACCTCTTGTTTACCCTGTCTTCAGGCAAATCCAACCTAGCCGCCCCACCACCTGCGGTTCCCATTGGCTAACGGCAGGCCTCTCTCCACGCCCTCAGAGGGCTGTTTTACATAATTTATGCGCTGGGGACTATGGGCCAATCATCACCGGCTTGTTTATATAATGAATGTAAGGACGTTTTTCATTCATAAAAAACGCGACCTGAGGGGGAAGCTTAGCTGAGTCAGTGAAGCACTTAAAGGGGCCGAGCCCCGAAGACGCCTCGACTTCCCTGGTCGCGCTGGCGGCTGTTCCCGAGGCGCAGCTCATCCTCCTGCCGGCTCACCCCCACTTCTCTGCGAACGCCACGACCACCCCGGGGTCGCTGGGCGCCAGACGCTCGCAGCTGCAGCCCCAAGCGAAGTTGTCATTTTAGAATCCAGGCGAGAGGAATTCGTCTCGTGGAAACACACAGAAACTCGCTGACCGGCCTGGGCGTTCGGCCCTCAGACACACAGAAAAACGGAAGCTGAGCCCTCTAATCTTAGTTACCTTTAAGAGAGGCCTTAATTTCCTTTAACCGGGTTTTCAGTGGAAAGAATAAGCAGTTATCTCCCTTCTAAAATCTGAGCTCTTCCAGATTTTAGTTGCTATTTTCTACTGGCAAAGCCTAAGGCCAGACCAGCGTCTCCCCTCAAGCGAACAGACGCTCCTGAACTCCGCGGGCCGGGGCTCTGCAGTCCAGGCGAGGGCCTAGGAGCAGCGTTGGACCGCTTGCCTCCTCCTGGGCTGCGTTGTTTTCCATTTTAAGTGTTGACTGCAAGATGGTGTATTTGCGAATTAGATCCCTTGCAGCTGGGGTCGAGGGGAAGCGACGCTGCTTGCCAAAGGATGGGGCACTAACAGCAATTGCTGAGATTCTTAACAGGGTGTTCCAGGAAACAAACAAGCAATCCTCTACCCCCTCCGCCCCCTCGCCTCGCTCCTGTGATAGCCACAGGCCGCTCTCTTCTCTTCCCCAGGATGCTGGGGCCTTGTCCTCTGCCAGCGGGGGAGGGGGGCAAGCCAAATGTTTCAGGAGCCCCAGCAGATGGGACCCTAACTTGTTAACCGTGCGACTGCCCTGGCCCCCACAGTGGGGAAGGCGCATGGCTTTTTAGAGGAAACATTTTAAAGAACAGTTTGAATCCTATGGAACCAGGAGTGCTGGGATGAGACCTGGACCCAGGGCCTGCCAGGCTGACTTACTGATTTTGCCAGAGCCTGGGCTGGACCCCAGTTGATGTGTGGGAATGGGCTTTGAACTTTTAATGAGCAGTTCCTCGATTTTTAATTTCCGGCTTAAGCATTGTGCTCCCTACTCTGTTTTCCCTTAGTACCAATTGTGTTTGGTGGCTGGAGGTTTTGCGCTAGTGTACGTGATACTTTCAGCATGTTTCTGGCGTCCCTGAGGGCTTTAACTCCAGCCACATGCAGGGCCCACACTGGCTAGCTCCGACCCCTTCGCCAGCTTTGCCTTCTCCCACTGCCATCTCGCCCTCCACTCTCATCCCATGCCAGTCTCTTCTCTGATCCACTTTCTCCCAAAGTTTCTTAATGCCTCTTAGTTTAACGCTCTCGGGCTCTACTCCTCCAAAAGGCTGTGGCCCACTAGGCCTTATGGCCTCACCAGGAAAACCATAGCAAATCACTTTTTATAAGTCACAGAAAGTCAGCGCAGGATACTACACACTGATTCTTTCACTTGATTGGAGTTCCTGTGTGGAGTGTGGGTCTTAAGACCTTGTCTTCAAAAACCCTCCATTCCACCTCGGGAACAGAAGTTAGGGGCTTATGGGTTGGGTAGCAACAAACAGTGGCTAAATTGGGAGCAGGGAAATACTGTGCCGTCGTTTATTTATTTAGGGGTTGGTTTTTGAGACAGGGCTTGATTTATAGCCAGATTGGCCTAGAAGTCACTCCATAGCCCATACTGACCTCAAATTTACCATGTAGTTCAGGCTACCTTTGAATTCCCTATCTTTCTGATTCCTTTTTCCAAATGTTGGGATTTGCAGTCATGTCAACACTCTTGGGTGGTGGCAGATTTTTATAAGGTTATCATAGATTGGGAATGTAGCTTGTCTGTAGACAGCTTGACTAGCAGGCACATGTGGCCCTGTGTTCTGGTCCAAAAACAAAAAAGAGGTTTGTCATAGATACAATATCATTGTGGGGATTTATACTATGTTAGAACTATTGGCAAATAATAATTAGTCATCTAGTAAACATTTATTTTGTACCAAATATTCAACCAGACCTTGTGCTAGGCAAAAAAATATTATAGGGATAAAACCCATTCATCACCTTGAACAATCCCACAGTCACACAGTCTTCACAGATCATCTAATTCCTCAAGATAAAAGAAATGATGAGGGGTTGGAGAGATGGCTCAGCAGTTAAGAACACTGGTTGTTCTTGCAGAAGACCCAGGTTCAAATCCCAGCACCCACATGGCAGCTAACAACTGTCAATGATTCCAGTCCCAGGGGGTCCGACAGCCTCTTCTGACCTCCGCCAGCATTGCACGGCAGAGGTGCAGGCAATACACGAATACACATAAAATAAAATTTAAAAAAAAAGAGAAGTGATGAATGAGTAGTATTACTGGCTCAGTTCTGTAGATGGGAAGTAGAGGCACAGAGTCCGTTCCCAGATTGTAGAAACAGTCCAGAGCCCAAACATGGGGGCCGTGACTTGTCACTGCTGCTCAGCAAGCCACCCCACCACATCATCCCAACACAGAGTGTGGAGGGGGAGCTGGCTCTGTGCCTCTCCCACCTCTGCTTCTTGTGGTTGACCTCCTCCATCCTCAGCCTACTCTTTCTCTCCTTATCTTTGCCTTTATGAGTTAAGGGTCAGTATTTAGATGTTCTTTGTCTAGTATATGGAGTCTTTCCTCCTGGGAACATATTTACACAGGGGGATTTGTAGAGGACATGTTCTAATTATCATTCTTCTCCTCCAGGAGAGAAACAGAATTGGAAAGGAAAACAAAAGGAGACCTGCCCCTCTGGAACATTCATCTTATGTCAATCTAGCCTTTGTCCTTGGGCAGCAGCAAAACTCAGTCACAATGAGAAACTGGACTCTTGTTCTTTACACTTGGCTTACAGTGTCAGTTCAGGGAAACAATGAAGAAGAATGGGGAAGGGGTGAATGCCTTGCTCTAAGTAAGCCCAGGAGTTACTTCCTTTAGAGATCTGCTTTTGCAGGGTTCCCCAAAATGCCGGGGTAAGCCAGAGTGGAGGGCAAGCAACTCAGGATCAAGCTCATCATGAAACTGATGGAGAAAGAAGTGGCCATGCTAGCTCTTTGCACTAGGGACAGGCCTCCTGTCCCTCTGTTAAAAGTGTCATGCAGAGTGTGGCTCTGTAAGCACACAGCCCCCAGGATTCTTTCCTCTTCTTTCATAGTGTGGAGGAAAGGACTGGAAGACAGGGTGTAAATGTAGCATAGGAATGTTTTCTTCAAAGGAAAGATAAATAGTTCAGCCTTCCTTTCTAAAATTCATAAATTTCCTGAAAACTAAGGGGAGAAAAGAAAATTCATATATAGTCAATGCTTCTTTAAACAAACAGGCATCATGTTGCCCCCAGGGTTCCTTATGATCAGAGAATAGCAAGAGCCCACCATTATTAAGAAGTTCTAGGAGCCAGACTCTGCTCAGTGCTGCATATGTGTCAGTCCCTGAGTCCAACTACAGCTCTCTGAGGAAAGTAAGATTATCACTTCCACTTTCACAGATGAGGGTACTTAGGCACAGAAAGGGCTATTAAATTGCCTTAGGTCACAAAGCTAGCACACAGCAGAAGAGGGGAGTGTTGCGGTTTAAAAAGGTTCATGTTTTGAACACATGGTCCCCAGGTAGTGGCACTATTTTGGCAAAGAACCTTTAGGAGGTGGTAGAAGTAGGTCACTGGGGACAGGCTTTAAGGGGTACGAGCCCAGCCCTGGTTTCAGGTGCCCCCTCTGCTTCTTGGTGCACTCCCACCGCAGCCATGGGCAAAGCCACTCTCCACACCTTCTCTACTGAAACTGAATGACAGAATAAGTCTTACATTATTTCAGTTAGGTATTTTGATAACAGCAACTCAAAGGTAACTAATACAGAGAGTATTACACAGATACCCTTCTCCCAGAGTTCACCATTTCATCACTAGGCTGTGCGGCTGTCAGCTCTAAAAGAATCTTTCTAACAACCCTCTGATGCAGATACCATTCTTCTCCCATTTTGTAAACGGAGAAAGTAAAAGCACCGAGATTCAGAAATTTGCCCAAGGTCACATAGCTAGCAAGAGTTGGAGTCGGGATCCTAACGCAGATCTTCAGCAGTCCTTGCTCTCTGGTAGTTCACCTTGCTGCTGCAACCTCCTGCCTTATCACCTTGTCCCATCTTGCCTGTGGACTTCTGGCTGTTGACTCTGACAAGAATGCATTTTGGGGGACTTGCTCCAGCATTTCCAGCTAGACTTCTGAATTATTATCCTGGGTCAGCAGGGTTTGTCTTAATGGAAATCACTTCAGAAAAGGAAAAGAAACTGTATTTACTGAGCATCCTCAGTATACTAGACACTTAACATACAGTGTCTTATTAAGTTCCCCCAAACCCTTCCATTGGTAGTGATAACACCCAATTTGTAGCTGTGAAAACTGAGATTCAAAGTGAGAAGTTTAAAACGTGCTTGAAAAGTTGAAAAGTTGGGCATGGTGATTCTACTTGTAGTTCAGGTGGATTTCTGGGGCTCTCTGGCCAGCCAGCTTAGCCTACTTGTCAAGCTCCAGACCAGTGAGAGACCCATCCTGTCTCAAAAAAAAGGTAGATGGTGTGTGAGGAATGACACTCAAGCTTGTCCTTGGCCTCCACAAGCATGTGCAG